CCAGAAGAATTGAGAAATCCCTGTGAGATTGCCTACGCTATTTAGCTCCACCTCCACAGCCAAAGACTCGGTTACTAGCTTCCCCCATGAGGCTGGTGAGATGGAGAAAGGCTTAGAAGACAAGCCTCCAGCCTCAGACTGGCTTTAGTCCTTCACATTGACCTTCCAGACCCTTCTCTCCCGCACAACCCAGACAACAGCCTGGAGCCAGTGACAGGCCTCTGCAGAAGCCACTTGGAGGCTTAGGGTAGAAAGGAATGGGGAGTCTGGTACAGTCACAGATCAGCAATAGCAGGATTCGGGTGGGAGGTGGCAAGGGGAAGGTCACATGCCCCCCCCCCCCCCCGCCCAGACCTCCACCAAAAGCCTCTGCCCACCACTGTGTTCCCAGAAGTCCCCTCTGCTGTACCCGGGCAGGGGTTGGTGAGTGAAGGGCAAAGATCATGCTAAACTCAGAGGTTGTCCCTCCCTCTGCCATGTGCCCCATCTTGCCCTCTGGACCCATTGATAGCATCCTGAGATGGGAACATGGCTCATGGCTAGATGATATCTGACCCCCACATAACTCCTGACTGTCGGGGCAGCAAGGTATGGAAAGTCCATTCACAAAGAAGGCGAAGGTCAAGGAGGTGTTGGAGGGCAGACAGCTGCCCAGGAGGGACCTCAGACTTCTTGAAACTAAGATGTCCCCTGAGCTAGTACTGAGAACCACAGCCCCGGCAGGCAGCATTGGAGGACATTGCCTTTTGGATGTGAAGAAAGACCTTGGAGTCAAGAAATTCTAGGTTTAAATGATACCTTTGGGACTTGGGAAATAGGCCAGTTGGGCAAAATGCTCATCTTGCAAGCGCAAATACCTTAGTTCGGTCCCCAGTCGCCATGTAAAACATAGGTGTGGTGGTATCCACGTGTAATCCCGGCACTGGGGGCAAGGAGATAGGTGGCAGACAGGTAGCCAGCTACCTGGAGCTGATGGTCAGCCAGTCTATCCCCTTCAGTGCGTCCCAGATACCACCGAGAGACCCCGTCTCTGAAGCAAGGTGAACAGCTCTCGAAGAATGTCGGAGACTACCAGCTGGCTTCCACGGGCGTGCACGTCACATGTGTGTATGCACCTGCACACACACACACAAACATAGCTGATGACTTTGACACTGACTCACATGGTTTCTGCACAGAAAGGTAACACCTCTGAGCCTCTGTTTACCCTGCTAATGGGGACAGAACGAAGATTTCCCAGAGTGTGGAGAAACGCACAGCAGCTGGCTCAGGGAAGGACTGACTCGCAATCTTTCCACCTCCTAAGCACGGACAGCTACGCCAGAGATGGGAAGAGGTACTACAGAAATGGGACGTTTAGCAGTCAGCGTCCTGTCTGCACGAGAGCAGGGCCTGAGAAAGGAGCCTGGCTTTCCTAATCCTTATCTTTTCCTGAGACTTGAAACGCAGTCTACCAGAAATCCAATCTTTTGACATAAGACTGTTTCTAGGGAGACTGGGATAGCGTTTGCTTATGAATCCAGAAACAGGTAGGGCGGTCCTGGGTTGGAATCAGCCTGGACTACGTACTGTGACCCCGTCTCAAAGCAAAATAAACAATAGTTTGTTTTCTGTTAAAATGTAAGTTTGTCCAAATCCTGTGACTTAGACATTGCTAACTCCATTTTATGGCTAAAAACCAAAGGCCCAGTCAGGCAGAGGCCTACTTGGTGCATAACACCCAGCCATGGAAAAAGCTGGGTCCCAGCACCTGAGCTGATCCTCAGCAGCCGTTTCTACCTCAGTTTCCTCTAAGAAAAGCCCTTGGTGACAGCCAGGATGGAAGGGAAGTGAGGAGAGGTACCAGGATCAGGCACTGTGTGCGGTGGCAGGAGCTGCGTGGCTCAGGCCTCTTCTTGTCTCTTGCCCCGAGGCAAAGGGCACAGCGGGACTCAGATCCCAACCTGGGGTATGGTACCAGGTTCTTGGCCCTGAGAATGCTGTGACAGGCCCACTGGGTCCTTTTTCACTTGGAGGGAGGTCTGGGAAGCCTGCTATCTTCACTGCACAGAACATGCCTCCGAATCAAAGAAAGCCCAAAGGTGCTGGCCGAGAGCCCCAACCATGTGATACTGAGCTGCATGGTAGGCGGACCCCACACAGCTGGGCTGCAGGGTATCCTGGGGCCTGGGACTGAGCCTCTTTCAGAGTAGTTGTGTCCTCTCAGCCATCCAGCTTGGGCCTCAGAAGGCCTCTTGGTGGCTTTCTGGCCTAGAATCCTCTGCAGAGAGGACTGTACTTGACTTACAGACCCAGGCCCAGGGAGGAACCAGCAGTGGTTGGGTATCTTACTTTTCCTCTCCTCTCGCTATGATACAGCATCTTGGCAAACACAAATCGAGGATTTGTCCTGGCTCACTGGTGGGGAAGTCTTGGTGGCAGGAGTTTAGAGCAACGGGTCACAACCAAAAACCAAGAGCTGTGAAATCCTAGCCCTCAGCTCAGCTTGGCTATCTATCTCCATTCTGTGCAGTCTGGGATCTTCACACAGTGACGCCCTCTCCCAGGCGGTTCAAGGCTCTGCCCAATTGACAGTTAACATTAACCGTCGCAGTGGGGAAGAAGTCTTGAAGCTTGGCCTGAGGATGGCCCTCAGGAGCGACTGCCAGTCTCCTGTCTGGCTAAGAGCAGCCTGGGTAATGAGAGTCCCAGGGCTCTGCTCTGACCCTAGATGGGCAGATTTAAGGGTGGCTAGAGATGACGGATAGCTGTCAGCCTCACTGGCCATGAGCTCTGGATGAACGCAGGCAAACAGATGGAGGGGCAGAGATGTGAGTGCCAAGACCCCTTGACCCTCTGTGCCCATGTCCCCTCACTGTTGCAGCTGGCTGCAAGGTGAGTCTGTTCACCAACAGCTGAGATATGGGTTCTCACTTTGCCCCGCCCCGTGTAAATTACTTGCAGATGCATATGGAATAAGCCCTCGTCTTGGAGAAGTCTCATGTCTGTTTTGTCAGGAGGCAGTACACCCTCTGTGCTAGGGCCAGTACATACATGAGGGCTGGGCGCACATGTATGTCTGTCCCAGTCTCTTAGCTCAGAGCCAAGTTCTGTGTCCACAGACAACTTGGATATCCATGCATATCTGCCAATCAATCACTGGCAGCCACTCTTGAACAAGCTTAAGTAACGTAGGTCTTCTCAGAGAGGGTACAAACGGTCAGCTACCTCTGGACCTGTCCCATGCTGGTGGCACCTGGTACTCAGACTGCAAGGCCAGGAGGTGGAGCTGCAGCTGAGTCGTCCCATGTGACTCGTTCCCATCAGTTCTGACCTTTGGGCCCAGCACAGGCTGGACCAGACCTGATTCGGCAGAGCCAACTGGAGACCAATGAGTCAGTGGGAAAGAGAGATAGGCAAAACATGGCTAATATTCAATGAGCACCTACTGTGTGCTGGATTATCTCACATCATCTTTTACAACTAAGGCTCAGAGGAGTCATGAGACTCGTCAAAGGCCACACGGTCCAGACTGCGTAGAATTCAGATGTAAACCCCGTCAGACTCCAGAGCCTGAACTCAGGAAACAGTGAGAGGCGACAAGATGACTCAGTGGGTTAAGTCATCAAACTTGATGACATTCTCAAGTCGTCCTCTGACCCCCACACATGTATTGTGACGCAGGCATACCCGCCCCCACCAAATAGAAGTTAAAAAAAAGAAACTCACTAAGCATGGCTGCTTTAGGAAGGAGCTCACCCCTGGCCATTTGAGTACGCATTGCAGTATAATGGGGACTCAGCAGGGGAGGGCAGCTGTCTTCAGTCCCATGAGACAAGCCAATCAGGACACATTTAAAAAAACGGGTGGCAATGTAGCAAAGCAAACTTGGCACAATTGTGGTCTCTTCTGATGGTTCTTGTTTCACGAATATCTTGTGGACAGCCGTCAATGGGACAGGATGATGGGTGTCACCGCAGTCCTGGGTGTGGCCCATGGAGGCCCCACACTCACCACAGCCTGCAACCTTTCCTCTGGATGTCCCCTGCAACTGTATGTGTGGACACATTTGGAGTCTCAGCGGGAGACCAAAAACTCACTTTCCACAGCAGCATCTGTCACCTTCTGTTGGTGGCCATTCTGTGTGACTATTGAGTGTGGCTGGGACATTGGGACAGCAATCGAGCCTTAGTCAGCCTCACCGTCTCAATGTTGCCTCTAGTCCACTTGGTGACCCTCTGAGGGAAAGGGAGACTCTCCCTCTGCCACTCTCTAGAGAGGGTCAGGTTCTCTCCCACCTTCCCAGCTCTGATCCACGGAAGATCACCATCAGTAGTCTCAGCACTTACTCTGGGCTAAGCCCCTTGCCCATTTCACAAGTACTGTATAATTTAATGTAACAAATTATACCTTGTCCAGAGGAGAAACTGAGGCGGGGGACTTCAGATAACTAGACTGAGGTGATTCAGCTTGACAGTCATGGGACATAAAGCACACATATGCTTAACCCCTCCATTCCTGGGTTCTGACCCTTCCCTGACCAAGGGTTGTCACAGATACCTAGGTATCTCACTGCCTGCTGCAGCCCTGAATGGGCCTGGTGTCTTGTCCATAGCTGATATTCTGAGACAGAGTTTGGGTTGGTGACAGTCCAGAGAGGGCCCGTCTCACTGTGGCAGAAAGAGGAGACCTGGACCTTGTTCCCCAAGCCTGGCACAAACCCAGAGCTGCCAATGGGGCCTCTGGGGCCTCAGTCCTGCTCAGGGACACCCCTTGTCTCCCAGGCTGGTTTCTCCTGAAGTTCCCAGCTACCATTCCCAGACTCCTGAACAGGGTGGGGCCAACCCAACAAGGCCGCTTCCCCCTGCTGCTTGTGTTCCGTCAGCTTCCACGTTGTCTTCTTAGGGTCACTAAAGTCCAAGAGGCCTCCTGGGAAGGTGTGTCACCTTCCAACGTGGAGTTACACACTGGGGAGGAGGCGGGGAGAGAGGGCTGGAGGGGCTTTAAATGTGTGGCTGGCTTTGCCTGCAGTCAGTTCCGCAGCGACACAGGTGAACTGTTTCTTCTCACTGCCGGAAACATCCAGTGTAGCCAAGACTGTTGCAGCCCAGCGAGAAGCCCAGGATGTTCCTGAAGGCTGTGGTGCTGACCCTGGCCCTGGTGGCTATCACCGGTAAGTGGACACAGCTCTTTAGCCGCTGCTGTGTACGAGAGGCAGCGTGGAAAGGCAGCTCTAGAACTAGAGGACAGCTGAGGGGGGCCTTGGGTTTGCCCAGCTGCTCCTACAAGAACAGGCTCTTATTGGCACCGGGGCTCTCTGGGTTAACCCAGAGATGGAGAAATGGGTTGGGCTACCCCAACTCCGGCATCATCCAGCTCAGAGCTGAGGCAAGGGTCCAGAAGAGGGATGTACGCTGTTCATGACTTGCGGCTGTTCTCTGCCCAGGCACCCAGGCTGAGGTCAATGAGGACCAGGTGGCCACTGTAGTGTGGGACTACTTCACTCAGCTAAGCAACAATGCCAAGGAGGCTATGGAAAAACTCCAGAAGTCAGACATTACCCAACAGCTCAAGTAAGTGGGATCAGTCTGCAAAGCCAGGCTTTCTTGAAGGAGACTTGAGAGATGGGCCACCAGCACTTGGGATCCTTCCTTCCTCATCAGGGGAGTCTGGCCTCTCTGGACCTAGATCTCCCTGTAAACAGGGAAGTTGGACCCAGGGATCCATCCCTATAGTATCTTCCTAAGTGTGCTAAGTTTGGTAAATAGCCAAATCCCATTGCAAGCTCATGGTAAAAGGAGAAAGGAGACATGTCCCGTGAGGTGGGATTTCTAGAAACATGGGTGCCTTGCAGCCAGGGGAAGGGAGGTTGGGATGTCTGCGGATGCTCTGATCACGTGCCAGGACATCAGACCTTGTGCCACTGAAGACGGACAGTTGCACAATGTGACCCTGGGCTGGGAGGTGGGGGGAGTTAAAGTCCAGTCCTGTTCTGTTCTTTAATCACAAGGAAAGGAGTCACGTGATGGGTAGATAAGGGTGCCGACGCCAAGCAGAAGTCTTGCAGATAATAATCCAAAGGAACACTAATCCTAGTAGATTTCCTGAATGCATGACCTACCCCAGGGAGGGCCACAGGGACAAGATGGAGGTCTCAGTTTCCATGGACACACTCCTGACCTAGGCAGGTGTATAAAGCAGAGTCTCTATTGCCAAGCATAATGGGGCTTCTCTCCACCTTTCCCCGAAGCACCCTCTTCCAGGACAAACTTGGGAACGTGAATACATATGCCGATGACCTGCAAAAGAAGCTGGTTCCCTTTGCTGTAGAACTCGGTGAGCGCCTGGCCAAGGATACAGAGAGGGTAAAGGAAGAGATTCGAAAGGAACTAGAGGACCTACGTGACCGCATGATGCCCCACGCCAACACCGTGAGCCAGACATTCGGGGAAAATGTGCAGAAGTTGCAGCAGCACCTTGGTCCCTATGTGGAGGGACTGAAAACCCAGGTCAACACCCAGGCACAGGAGCTGAAGCGCCAGCTGACCCCCTACATGCAGCGCATGCAGACCACACTGCGGGAGAATGTGGACAGCCTGCAGGCCTCAATGACGCCCTTCGCCAACGAGTTCAAGGACAAGTTTAACCAGAACGTGGAAGAGCTCAAGGGGCGCCTAACCCCCCGCGCCAGCGAGCTGAAGGCTACGATCGACCAGAACCTGCAGGAACTGCGCAACAGCCTGGCCCCCCTCGCCGAGGGGATGCAGGAGAAGCTCAACCACCAGCTCGAGGGCCTGGCTTTCCAGATGAAGAAGAATGCCGAGGAGCTTCAGACCAAGGTCTCCACCAACATCGACCAGCTGCAGAAGAAACTGACCCCACTGGTGGAAGACGTGCACAACAAGCTGAAGGGCAACACCGAGGGGCTGCAGAAGTCTCTGGAAGACTTGAACAGCCAGCTGGACCAGCAGGTGGAGGAGTTCCGACGCGCCGTGGAGCCCCTGGGGGAGACGTTCAACAAGGCCCTGGTGCAGCAGATGGAGCAGTTCAGGCAGCAGCTGGGCTCCAGTTCGGGGGACGTGCAAAGCCACTTGAGCTTCCTGGAGAAGAACCTGAGGGAAAAAGTCAGCTCCTTTATGAGCAGCCTGGAAAAAAAGGAGAACCCAGACCAGCCCCTGGCCCTCCCCGTCCCCGAGCAGGCCCAGGAGCCCAACCCCAACCCCAGCCCCGTGGAGAGCTGACCTGTCCCTGGTGCCCACAACGCATTCCAGCAGCAGACACCTGCCCTGCCCCACCCCCTGTCTGCCAGTCTGTCCCTAAGCACGCCTTGTACCTGCTCGAGGACACTTGTCCTGCAGAAGGTGATGTCTCATCTAACTACTCAATAAAGCAACTGAGAAATTAGCCCTCGTTGGTTGCCATGTGATTCCTTGGGGGCTGGCCTGAGGTGGGGACAAGAACAATGCTGGCCCAAGCTGAGCAGCATCCGGCAGGGACAGGGTGGCACCGTGGGGGGACCTATCTGAGGCTCAGGGATTGGTGTGACAGAGAGGACAGAGAGGAGAAGGCAGAAAAGATGTCAGTCTATCAGGAAACAAAGCACACACCCCATTTACAGTCTTTTAGCCACCAGGCAGTTAACAAAGGCCCTGGAGGTTCTAATCAAACTTCCAAGCACCAGACAAGCCAGAACAGCTTTGGTGGCATTGTGTGCCTGGAGACCGGGTTTCGTGTTGACAGGGACCCCAAGAGAACAGCAAGACAGTTCACCGCACAGCAAGTGCCTTCTTGCAGGGCTTGTGTCCTTGGACTTATTTATGTAAAAGTAAACCACCCTCCTCTATCCCACTGCAAAGTGTAAATTTCTCCGCCTGTTGGCTAAACCTGTTGACTCCAGAGCGGTGTGACAGATACCACAGGATGCGAAGGAGTCTGGGTAGAAGAGGCGTTGGAGCACACAGAGAGCCCTGACACGCTCAGCTCAGCAGCCTCTTGATGGACGGTCCCTCTGTCACAATGCTTGTGGCTGCTGGCCTAAAGGGTGGACCCGAGCAATTTCTTGGGCACAACCAGGCACGGCAGTTGCAGTCTCTGGAATGAATAATTCCTCTCTGCCCTTGGAGACCCAAGGAGGGAGTCTCAGAGTAGAGTCAGTCCAGGGTTTCCTCCCAACGTACGTCACAAACTGTCTGCTGCCTCCGGCTCAGGTCTTTAAGTCACACCCCTGCTCCTCAGAATGGGAAAAGTCACCCTGCAATGCTCTAGAATGGACTGAAACATGCTGGGGGTAGCCCCAGCTGCCCTGGCCTCCTCTTCCTCCGCTCCCAAGGCTTCTTCAGTGTGTCAGCAGTTCAGGTCTGGGTTTGAATCTTGGCTTCCCAGGTGCCTGCTGGGTGATTTGGGGGCAGGTGACAGTTTTTTTTTTTTTTGAAAGGAAAAATGAGGAGGCTTGGGTCAGAGTTGTTCAAAAAGCCTGATGCTGTACCAAGCCAGGCACTTACTCCAACCTCAAGTGCAGTATAAACACTCAATGAGCAGAGTGTACTGTGCTGCTATAGTGTAGAGGACACCCCGGAAATGTCCTCTTCTGCTCAGCTCCCTAGCCTCCAGGTGCAGGCCACTAAACCCTCAAATCTCCCCGGCCCTTTCTAACCAGATGCTCAGGTCAAACTGTCACAGCTACTTCCACCCCTGACACTAGCGGGAACGACACGGGTGAGCACATTTTGCTGGGAGACCTGGCTCCAGGAGGCTTGCTGACCGGCTACAAGAGGCTTTCTCAGAGTGCCAAGGTCCAAACAGGACCAGAATAAAGGCTAAGTTGGTTTGCAAGCTGGTTTGGAAACTTTTGCTCTCCCCTGTAGGTCTTCTAGATGAGTTCTGCCTCTCAAAGCCCCTGAGTCTCCCAGACCCTTGTTCATACTACAAATCCTGAGTGGGACCCCTGAGTTTTTTCCTGCTGTCTCCAGGACTGCCCCACTCACTCCCAGGGTCCTACTATAGTCCTAGTTTCCCTGAATGAGATACACTCGCTTGCTTTCTCCTGAGCCAGGATGTCACTCCTGGTCTTCAGTCTCTTAGGTCCCAGACCTGGCATTCACTTCCTGGTTACAGCATTGCTTTTGGCTGCTTTAATACTCTGGATGTTCCTGTCCCCTCAAACTCATGTGTTGAAATGAACTCACTGTGGGGTGTGTGTGTGTGTGTGTGTGTGTGTGTGTGTGCGCGCGCGGGTGCGTGAGAACCTCTGCTTCTCAAGAGCACCATTTGTTTCCTTTGAGATAGGGTCTCTCATTAGCCTGGAGCCCATCAATTAGGGCAGGAAGGCTGGACAGAGATCCCCAAGGACCCGCTTGTCTAGGCCTTCCTGAAATGAATGTGTTTCAACCACCAATATAATGATTTTGGGCTCATGCTTTTAATTTTAGCACCCAGAAAACAGAGGCAGGTGAATTTCTGTGTGTTCCAGGCCAACCTGGTTTTCGTAGCGAATTCCAGGTCAGCCAGGGCTACACAGTGAGACCTGTCTCAAACAAAAACAATTAAACAAAAAGACGATGACGATATTAGGTTGGTCTATTTTGCCTCCTATCATTCAGTTTGGGGCTGGGTCTCTCCAGGATTAAACAGTTATATTCGGAGTTAGCTTTAGAGTTTTCTGCCCGTTGCCATGAAACCATCACAAATGTTTTAAATTCACTATGACCCCTGTGTCCTATGAAGAAAACACCCACAAAGATTCAGCTGGCTCACAGTGAGAAACGGCGATCAAAGACTTGCACAACTCCATCCTCAACCTAGTACCAAGTTTCCCGTCCCTTGCCAGTGGGGGAAGCAGACCCAGGAGCAAAGGGATCTTGTGGGAGACCACCTGTGGCTTCCTCAGGAGGGAAAGGGCCAGGCTATCTCTGTCAGTGCAAAGATACACACAGGCAAATTTGAGAAAATATTGCTGTCTTAAAGGAGGTCAAGAGACGTAGGAAGGGCTGGGTCCTTCTGAGAACGCTCAAATAGAAAACAGTCATTGTCAAGGGGCTATTTAGGCATAATCTTATACTCTCTTCTTTTAGTAAAAACTACGTTTAGTTGTGTGTGTGTGTGTGTGTGTGTGTGTGTGTGTGTGTGCAAGTGCATGGACTTGCACATGTGCTGGGAATCTCTCCCAAACTTGTCCCTGGTGATCTCTAAGGAATGTGTGTGGTTTGGATAGATATGAATGGCTTCTCTATACCTTTATGCTTTGATTTGACCCAAAGAAGCTCTAACGAGTCTGTTATTCCCGTATGCTGTAGAAACCTCAGGTATTAGATGAAATATAATTACTTGAAAGAATGTAGCTAGAATTTTGGGGAGTTAGAGTAGATTAATAGATGCCTTACCCCTGGTTTTTAGAAATTTGAAATAAAATGTAATATGTTTTAATTTAGAAAAAAATAAGAGAGCTGGGCAGGTGAATCTCTGTGATTTTGAGGCCAGCCTGGTCTAAAGAGTTCTAGGACAGCCAGGGCCACACAAAGAAACCATGTCTCGAAGAAAAAAAAAACCAATAAAGAAAAACAACAATAACAACAAACAGGATTGGAATTCTTCCTTATGAGAGGGACCCGTGGAGAGCTGTCTTCACCCCAAAGGTCAAACGTAGCTAGACAGCACCATCTCTGTACCAGGAGGTGGTCCTCACTAGATACCTGATTGCTGGAATCTGTACTTGGAGTATCCAGTCTCTAGGACTGTGGAAGAAAAACGTGTGGGTTTAAGGGGGAAAAAATGAAAACTGGGCTTATACGAGCATTATTATTGTGAGATTTGTGCTCTCATGAGTCTCCTAATCTGTTGTGTTTTGTTAGCAGGCTGGACGGGTCTCTCACAACAGCTGCCTAACTTCTGAATGGGCCTACTTTGGCTGGGGAATTCCCCTTCGAGGAAGCTTTTGTTTCTGTTTTTGTTTTTTGTTTTGTTTTTTTTCCTTTTAACTGGGGCCTCATGTACCCCGAGCTGATCTCAAATCTGACGTGTAGTCAAAGATGACCTTGAATTTCTGCCCCTCCTGGCTCCTTCAGCCAAACGCTAGAATTCCAAGTGTGCACCATCGGCCCCGCCAGGCACTCTGGTGAGTTTTAGTTTTTAATTCTCTTATTTATACATTTACCTATTTATTTATTTTCTGTGTGTATGTGGACACAGACACATGTGAATGTACGCAGATGGGTACGTGTGTGCGTGCTCCTGCCATGATATGTAGAGGTCTGAGAACAACTTTCAGGTGTTCACCAGGCAGGACCTGGGCTTGGTGATCAGACCTGACAGCAAGCACCTTTACTGTCTGAGCCATCTCCTCAGCCCTCTGGTGAGTTTTGAGGGAGCACACCTGCGACTCCTAATATAGATGCCAAGAATAGCTGCCTCTTACAGCCCAGGAGCAGGCCTGTAATCCTACTATTAGGAGGCTGAGGCAGGAGGATTATGTGTTTGGGGCCTTGCTGGGCTTCACAGTGGAACTCTATATGAACAGAAGGAGTGAGGGGAAAGGGAGAAGGGAGGGAGGGTGAAGGGAAGGAGGGGGAGGAAGGAAGGGGGAAGGAGCAGTATAACTCTCTCCACTGGTCTGGTTTATGGTGGCAGTGCCTATGTTTCCCCCCTACTTTTCCTGTTCTTTTTTTTTTTTTCCAAGTTTTGGATAAATTTAAAAAACAAAAGCAAAAAACAACAAACTAGTTTAATCAATTCAATTTTGGCTCAAGTCTTCAGCACAAGGTCCATGGCTTACCCCACACACCTGCCCAGTGTTTTTGGGGAGTCTCATGTGCCTTGGCCTTTGGAAACCACAGCCTCTTCCCTGTCTGCACCAGTCATACTGAGCAGGACACGGTCCTCAGTAGATTGGTATGTTCCTCGAGGAAAGACCTTCCTCTTTGCTCTAAGACAGTGACTTGGCTTAGCCTCCTCTGGCCCAGTTAGGCCTAGATCATCTCTAGCAAACAAGACACGGGACAAATGAAAAGCAACCTCTGGGCTTGGGAGACCAGTCCCATTTTCCATGTTCAGGCATGCACTGACTCCTGCTCTTAAGTTTTCAATGAGGTCCTGAGTTCAAGGGGGGAAAAGTCCCGATATGGGTCTGGGGAACTTTGTATTTTATTTATTAACTTTGCAGGTGCTGTGTGTGTCTGATCTGCCTGCCCGTACCTTTTGCGTTCGGGATTACAGATTTGAGTCGCTGTGCCTTGTTTATCTAGTGCGGGACACTGAACTCAGCCTTGTGTATGCTAGGCAGTCACTCTATCGACTGAGCCACATTCCCAGCCCTGTTACTACATTTTGAAATAGTGCAATGGTCTGGCTTATGTAGTCCAGGTTAGCCTTGAATTTCTGACCCTCTTGTATCAGCCCTAAATGCTGGGATT